TCCACTCGCCGAACTTTTAGGTGTATTTACAAAACTGTCTTTTATGGATATCTATTCATGCAATGTGTGTCTGTTGGACTTATTTTTAAAGTAATGTAATCCCAGAGTTTATTTGAGGTTCATTCCAGTGTAAAGTCACTTAAGCACAGTCTACATTTGGTCAGATGTGTTTGGCCTTGTTTTAGGTTCATTACTAGTGTGAATCGGTCTGTAGCATAGCACCAGTTAACACTGACTTAAGGAAGGATGTAGATTGTCATTAAAATCATCAAAGTCACAGGGGGTGACAGCGCTGCATGAAGCTGATTATTGACTCTTAGTGGTCATGTTGGTGTTCTGGAGTTCATCAAGCTGGACCACGTCTCCATCTCCAGTCATGAAGCTGTATTGACCATACAAATGTTGCCAACATTAAGATTATTCCCATTTTTTATGAACAAGTCTAAATCTGATGTAGCCAAGTCAGTCTTTTTTTTAATTTCTTGTTATAAGAATCTAATATGTGAGCGTATTGTGACGGGGCCTGCTGCTCCAGCTTCATGTGCCAAAACAGGTGCTGTGTAGCAAACCCTGAGCTCATCAGTCTCCTCCTGCCCGGCTCTATTTGTTGTTTCTCAATTCACAGTGGCAGGACTGGCAGACTGTGTAATGTGTGGGTGAGAAAGAGAGAGGGAGTTAGAGAAAGAGAGACGGATATGAGAGGTGTGAGTGGGGGATTTGAGAATAAGCATGGCACAGATCCCCATTTCACCATCCTGATCTTCCTCTATTCCCCATGAATAATGTGGCACAGCCACTACCCAGTGGTAGGCCAGGCATGCCGCCATATCAAGCCGTCATGGAGGGTGCGGTGTCCAGCTTGGCAAGTCTGGGCTCATCCACATTCTAGCCCCACAAACCCATCCCCCATCCCCAACCTGCAGAGAGGAGTACTGGGCTCCAAGATGGCAATCAAGGCTTGATTTGCCAACACATTTCCAATGATTAAAATGTAATTAGCACAAGCGAGCACCTCCTCCCCAGCTAATTTCCACACACGCTGTGACAGGCAGGCGGTCGGCGGCACCCAGGCCCCAGCAGCAGATGGAGGAGGATGCAGCGGGAGGGGAGAAAACCATTTTGCCATGTGACTGTTTGCATCAGAAAACCATCAGGACGCGCAGCTATATCAGGAAGGAGCTGTTAGGAAAAGGGAATGAGGAGCCCTTGACGACAGCACATCAAATTGGCACTGTCAGAGCTGACCCTGGCAATGGCTGCCATCCTTCATGCTGTCTTTCCAGCTCCCAGGCATGCAAGCAAGTTGGCTTCTTTCCTGGGCTTTAACCCCTTCAGCCATCCTCCAGGACAACCTGGCTCAGACTGATAAACAGACACCATCCTCTATGTAACGGGGCACTTTAATGAAGCCCATATCAACCATAATTAATTTTAAGGTCATGGATAGCAACCAGCATAACCTGAGGCTAATGTCACTCATGGGAGCGACAATACGGATCCATCCCAGATCCGGACTTAAGAAGGTGCCATTTTCGAAAATACTAGATTAGAGACAACTTGTAACAGCGGAGACAGCGGATCAGAAATGATAATAAGCCAGTTAAACATACTCTGTTTGCCTTCAGAATTATCGTTTACGCATGTAATTTTTTTCTTGATTGACTTAACATCTGTTAGTGTTTGAGGAGCAGTGGATTTCCAGAAGGTTATGCTGGAAAAGGGAACATGGCATACTTGCCTTGCACGCATCTTTGTGTGATGTGGTTACCTCTTTAGTACAGACATTTTTCTGCGGGTAGCTCTGGCAGGAGACGTTGGTGAGCCCTGCTGCTACAGACAATAGCATAGCTGCATCATTTAGCATTCGGCCCATGGCTCCTTATGTTCCTCTTCTATTGGACCAGTATTACTCTCAGCTGGAGAGGATTTAGGACAAGAATAATTTACTCCTACTTTCAGACCAATATAAACAAAAGCCTCGCTGCTTGGACGGAGCGTAGGGAAATTTGTAATAGCACTCAGCCAAAAGAGAGGCCCGGGTGAGAGCGGGGGGGCAATCAGAAGTGCTCCGGATACAGGCCAACATCAACAGCTCTTAGAGCTGAAGCTAATGTTTGACATTCCTGTGTTACTTAAACTAAACACTAGGGTCTAGCTGTACAGTATAATGCTGGCCCTGTGTAAATAGCAGCAGCCTGGGTAGAGTATCAATTTTCTTTGTTAGCCCCCTCCCAGGACTAATGGTTTCCTTACTGTACATGACTGTTGTTTCAAATAAGACCAGTTTCCTACCTCAGCCTGTCAGAGAGCTAACTCCGGTGATCTCAATAGCACCATTGTTGTTGTGTTTTTTTCTCTCTTCAGTGCAGAATATTCATTTTGGTCTTTTCATTACACACAGGCTCCCAGGGTTGGTGTAAAGTGTTTTTGACATTACAGTTAACCATATCTCTGTAGGTTCATTCATACTCACCCCATACTCACCCGTACCTGTTCATATTATCCACAGTCATAGCAATAACTGAATTTCTGAGCTCATGCTTACCTCCTTAAACAATACCATACCTCAGTTATTAATGATGAGGTCTAGCAATTGTTCATGACATTTCCAGCTGCCAACTGCAAAGCCGAGACTTTCCAGCCTTCTGTCTGTTTCTAATGTAAGAGTCAGTAAGTAGAAATAAAAGGAGTAAATTCCAGATATGCAGGGATTCTTCTTTCCCGCCTCAGGTTGCTTTATGCATGAGGCAAAGCATTAGTTCACTATGATCACTTATCAGTGAGTGACAGCTCTGACTTGTTTGTATGCCTGAGATGTGTTTTTATCTCTTTAGAGATATTATTATTTGTTACTTTTTGCTCTATACTTGAGCAGTGATTTCGAGGGAGCTTTGGCGTCTGCGCTGTAAGGATGATCAAATTGCCTGCCCTTGCCTGTCAGGCCTGATCTCAGGATTTTTTACTTTGCTCATTATAAAGGTATTTCCATTTTATTAAGTTTTCCCTTTTTTCCATCCTTTGTCGCTCTGGGAAATTTGCATACCTCTATTCCTGGGGTAAAAAAAAGTAATGACAGCAATTTCTTTTCTTTTCTCTCCCCCACCAGCCGTGTGAGTGCTTCGTTTAGTGGCACCTGTGAAAGCGACAGGCGCAGGGATGAGAAGTGAAAGAGAGCAGTTGATTAAATCATCATCAAGTCGTAGCACAGAAAGTCAATTCTGCTTGCCGTCTACAATGATATCCTTTTATCTTAAAGTAATGAGCTATGGCACTTTTGCATCGGGTAATACGATGAGTTCCATTAGCATGTTCCATTTGCTTCACAAGCAAGGGCAAGTCATTCCAGCCAGCTTCTATCTTGGCAATCAAAGCAATTGGCTGCACAGTCAGGGAACAGGGGAAAGGAGAGAGAGAGAAACAAGGGGACACGAGAAAGAAAGGCTGCTAGTGTTTTTTTATGGATCACAACACAGTGGAAAAACTAAAATGATGTCCATTATTTGAGCCCCTTGCATGCCTCTGTTCCTGGGTACGTAGCGTGCACAGGCAAAGGAGCAACTAATGAGTGCTTGGTTGTATTATAGTTGTCACATTTTGAGAGGCCCGAATACATGGAAGCAGTTGAGACGGCTAAGGCTGCTCATCAGATCTCGTGTGCTGCTGCATTAGTCAGTCCTGTGTAGGAGGCCACGAGAGAGAGTGATACATAGTCAACACGCCCATTTTATTCAAAAGTAAAAGTAGATGTCCATAACACACAGAGTGTGCAGCTCTTTGTATGACACGCACATTCACGCGAAATCAGAATCTGCACTTGTCTTTCATTACCCTTATTTATTCCTCCAGCTGACAGTCTATAGGGCTGCTCACTCCCTGCACACTGTATTAAAAACAGGGGTGGAACTTTGTGGGTGGTGGAGAAAGAGAGCGAGGGAGAAATGGAGAGCAGGAGAACGTCTGAGGAGTGTTTGCCCAGCGCGTTTATTGCCTCTGCATAATTTATGAGCTGCTGGAGCTGACCATCATGGCAGTGTGCCGCGGGCGGCCCCTGGGGCCATGTGGGACAGGCCTGTAAATTGGATGCTATGCTCCTGCTGAGCTCGCAAGGCCCCTTTTTACCATGTAGCCTGAGAAACAGACCAACAACGAGCCCAGCCAGCTACCTTTGAGCTCAGCGGGTCCCCAGATCAGCAAAAAAACAAGAGATGGAAGCAAAATAAAGGGGAGAGTAAGAAAAAATGGCAGGGCCTTCTGTCGCTCACTCCCTGCGCTGTCAATCATTTTACCACCTTCCTTCATTCCCTCCCTACTTTAATCGACACCCACCAACCCCTCCCTGCACTCCCCGTCCCCCCGCCTACACACACACACACACACACACACCATGCCAACCTCTGCCCATATTCCCCCCCAGTGCCTTCTTCATTACCGACTCCAGTGCTTCTCTGCACCTCAGCCATATGCACAACGTTGAGGGCCGCCAGTCACCCAGCATTACACTAATTAGTTGATAAAGAATTAAGTGGACCTTGAAATTGAAATTGGAAAGAAAAAATGAAATCTAACCACTTTTTTCCTCCCTCCATTACAAAGTTCCCTTCCTATTCTTGTCATTTCTCCATCCCCAGCCTCAAGCAGGAACACACATCATGGAATTATAATTCTAGTGGCGGTTAGTGTTTGAGATTCCAGCTCCGTCTGAATTTCACATAGTTGTCAGTGTTAACAAGGGCATGGCTGCTCATGAGAAATTTGCTTTGTTTCACATTGCACAGCTTGTGTAGTGAGTTAATGAAGTGATCTGATGATATTCAGACGCTGAATACGAGTATGTGATAAGTTCGTCATTAAAGAGCTGATAAGATATGCCATTTGCAAAGGTAAATTGGATTATGGCACTCATGTGTTGGAATTGAATACAGTCCAAGCAGGAACAGTTATAAAACAAGGATGTAGACTCATTAATTCTAATTTCAGCTTTACCTTTCTTTTTCTTGCAGTGTGACACCGAGAGCGACCAAGACGACAAGGTAAGCCTGCCATTCACTTTGCCTTTTCGTGTACTGTTATGACTTCAGTCTTCTTTATCAGGTTTCAATGAGATTCAAATATTAGACTTTCTTTAAGGCTGAGAATTTAATGTAATTAGAATTAAACATCCTGTTAATAACTATGAGAAAGCCTTAATTAGCTGCGCATTAATTACAAATGACTTAATGATGTGCAAAATCTAAATCGAACTGTTCTGGCTTTTTAGGATTTAGATGACATTAAAATGAGACGAGTGCTGTGACAGCCAGGGCTGAGGGTGCAGGCTTTCTGTTGCTTAAAGCTGAACACTGACTATCACGTCTACAGTGCGAAGTACAGGGCTTGTGTTTGTATATCTTGTGCTATCCATAGATGTCTATCTTATTTTGCAACACACTGTTTTGATAAAAATATCATCTCTATCAGCACCTCCAGCGCTGACCAGTGGTATGATCGTCTTATATTTGCTGAGAGATCCATGGTTTCATTTTTCTCACTTTGTTACAGTTGCAAAAACAAATTTGATACAAAAAAACAAAAAGAAGTTTACAGTGAAACACACAAACGATGCCCAATGAACAAGTACTACACATTTAAAAAGTGAAGAAGGAGCTCACTGGAAATAGACAGAACATAGCTTATGTATTTTTTTTTAAGGCTAGCTGAGTTTAGCCTGATGGTGCCAATACTGAAACGACTGTGGATTCACAAAATTCATGAGATTTCCTCCTGTCTGGAGCAGAGTCTATGTGGGAGAAGTGTATGTGAATGTACATATATATATATATATATATATGTATATATATACTGTATATATGCTGATGATGGTGCTCAAGCTCACCAATATCACTGAGTCTTGTCATCCTGGGACTGTAAAATGCTCATCATGCTCATCAGTCATAGGCAGTACAAACAAATGCAAGTACTAGAATCAGTGCAAAAGGATTAGGAAGGTTAATAAGCTAAAGAGAGCTGTGATGGACATCATTCTTGTAACAATCTGCTAGAAAGTGCCAAGTCTGTGTTTACTCATCCATGCATATTCGACATATCAGTTGGCTGAGTTCCTAACTCTCTCTGGAGATGGTCCAGAGATTAATTCTTGTATAGCACCATATTTTTTGGCTGGACCGAAACAATGACGCCAGCCCTATGAACGCCAGTGTTCATGACAGGCCCATTGGCCTTTGCTATTTCAAAATTACTTGGCATGAATGGTTTCTATTACATTACCGGGGGGGGGGCATTTACAGCAGATCCACAACAGATTTCAACTATAGTATTTCCTGACTGGGGCCTTTATTTACCTCAACTACAGAAGGTAACAGGTCTTTATTTGAGACAGACTTGTATTAGAGACAGGCCTTTATTTCTAATCCTGCTCCTGTTTGCCCCCTTTAAGTTACAGCATTAACTGTGTGTTCATAGCTGTTTCAATAGTAATAATTTCAAATTAAAAGCCCTCTACCCTTTCAGTGGACAGAATCCCCTTTTCTTTTATTGCTGTGCTGACCCGTACATGGCCCAGCCATATGCCAGGTTTATACCTAGTCTAGTTAGCTGTCTCTCAAAGATGTCAGTAAATTGAGCCAAATTCAGCCCAATTTCTTTGGGCCACTTTAAAAGGCTGGCAAACATTTTTTTCTGTTGTAAAGGTCAAATTCTCAAACTAGACAGAATCCAAATACTTGAAAGTATCTGCAGGTTTGTTAGAGACCATCTTTAACGTATTTGGTCCAGCTCCATTTATAATATCCAGGTATTCACAGTTTGAGCGTAACTCATAGATTCAAAGAGCAGCTATATTATCCAATGGCTTCTAACTAGAGATCTAGATCCACTCTAATGATTTAGTAATGCCATTTGCTTGTGGTGTTTAGACTGTGCAGCAAATTGAGTCATTACTCAGTGTTGTCGATTTAAATTGCTCCTGTCTCGGTGGCAATTCCTTTTTGTTTCAGGAAGAGAGAGAGAGCATGGTGAGCTGTAATCCCCCCAGTGACTGTATTAATTCACCCTGGCTCACGTTACGCTCCTGATGAACAGCACCGACTGCACCTTCCTGTCATTGATTAATTGTGTGTTAAAGTAACAGAGGAGTGAATTAGTAAATAGGGGACCCCTATGACGGGCTGACTTATGTGTTCTTCCTTGATGTGAGGGACTAATTGAAGCTCCCACTCAACACTTTTACCCCCTCCTCATCCCAGATCACCTCTGCCACTATCTGCTCCTGCCAGGCGCCGGGCACGCTACGCCCACTGCCGCTGTTGTCATTTGCATTCTGTGGGCGACGCGGTCTACTTTACAACACCGCAGCAGAGAAGGACGCGGGAGAGCAGAGTCGTTTTAATGGGTCAAATGTATTCAGATGAGGACAAACGTGACTTATTTAGTTTCCCTTCAAAAGCAGGAAATGGAAAAAGTGTTCCCAGGAGAAATCATGTTCTGCCTGGTGTAGAAGGCCTCTGCCGTGTCGGCGGGAGCTGCCAGGCTCTGATAAGAGACAGCTATTCGCATCTCAGAGTATGTGTGCACACGGTCCTGCTCGTGTGTTTGTGTGTGTGTGTGTGTGTGTGTGTGTGTGTGTGTGTGTGTGTGTGTGCCTGCATGTGTTGCAAACTGTCAGAGCATTTGCTCATTACAAAGTGACCTGTAGGATGGGCCATCTCCAACATGACATGTTAATGGCATGCTGGGAGACAGGTAGGAGGCAGGCTCATTGGCAGTCTCTTGTCACACAACGCTGGTATTATTAGCACTATACCTTATCTTTAGCATCTTTGCTAAGGTCCCCATTACAGTCTTCCTTGCCCTCTGCCTGCAATCCAGTCAGAGCTCAGATAATGAGAAGGACAAGGTGAATAGTTGTAAGTTTTATGTTATGTGTGAGAAATGTGACTGAAATACTTTTCTGTGAGTTAAATATTTATTAATTAATGCTGTTGATCTACACACAAACCCAAAGAAATTCCAGTGATGTCACTATTTATAGCTCATTTCATTCATATCATGTCGCAACTATAAAATAGGATGTTGCCTTCTTTTCTGCCTGTACTATACAGTGGGCCACTTGAGTGCCAGCTCAAGGGATCATATGGTCCGTAAACTGACATTGGGATGCAAGTAGAAAAGGAGGCTGAAGGGCCAGAAACCTCTCGAGCTTTTGCGTTTGTCTGTCGCTATCATGTAGTTTTGCCCATTTTATGCTCCCAAAATTCAGTCAGCACAAAAAGTGCTCTTGCGCTCATCCTCTCCACAGTCCACTCAAGCAGGATCAGGTGGTCTTTTTATTAGGTCTTGATAGGACTGGCCTGTCCATGTGGAGCTGCTTGTTCCCAGTTACGATGCTCCTCTTTACTGGCAGGAAAGCTCACTGAAAAGAGCTCCCTAGCCTCAGGTGTCCTTCATGTGCATCCAACAAAGCTCCAAAAACATGACCTCATTTCATGGTGTAGTTAACGCCAACAGGTTGTCCACCATCCGAGAGCTTTTAGAGAGGTGGTGAAACATCCTGTTAGCATGTATATTCCAGAGCTCTGGAAAAATTCTCTAAATCCTTTGGGGAAATTAGAAGACATAATATAAATATGAATGTAAATGCTTCCTGGCTCTTTTATTTTACACTTTCTTTTCTAAAATAGATACACCAAAACTCACTCAACATGAATCTTTTCTGATTAGAATCTAACAGCAGCAAATTTCTTCACCTTTACTTCACAGTCTTTGTAATATTGTCAAGAGTGCTCAGGCACTTACTATGTCTGGGCTTGCTAATGCTTAAGTGATTTTTGCTAGTAAGTGGCACCTTGAAACTGCCAGTCAAATGTTTTTGCATGAATATCAGCTAGTGCTCAAGTGCTTTCTCCAGCTTAACTGTTCACCAATCGTGTTACTTAGGCCTTTTGTGGCGTAATCTGCAAAACTTTATCACTCTGCAGCTTTTTTATTTCTCTTTCCATCGCCTCTGGGCTTTTTTTTATAGGGACCACACCTTTCCTAAGTGTTATTTACTTGCTTTATCAACAGCCACAAGCTGTAAATGCCATTTTAAAAAATGCTCTGGGTCTCATTAATGGCCATGCAACAGAGTGCTGTAATTTGCTGTGCTTTGCTCTTATTGGAGGTAAGGGATCTAAGTGGATGCTTTAGAGCAGCCGAGAGAACCTGTTTGTCCTTGACATAAAATAAAGATCTGAACTGGTAATATATTTGCTGTTTCTGTTCCTTTATTGTTTTGCTGTGTTTGCCCTCAGGCAATTACAGCAGAAGAGTCGTGTTTCTCAATCACTCGGCAGCACTGTACATAAAACCATTTTATACCCCACCCCCCACCCCTCCGTCTTTCCACTGCAGTGGGAAGGATGAGTAATAAAAAGGAGAGAGCAACTTGTCAGCGTTAAAAGATTATGTGTTTTGCCCCCTCCAAAGGAAGAGAGTAGTGTTTACAGGCTTGAGTGGGTGCTCGCTAGGCCGAGGCTGAGGCTGATTGCACTAGAGTACCCTGTCAGCCAGTGATTTGTCATGTACTTTATCATCCTTGTCACTCTGCTGAGCGTTGTCATAGGTAACGTTCCCGCCTGCCCCCTCCCCCTTCTGTGCTTTGTACCCAGTCAGTGTAGGAAATTTGTATTTACTTTGGGGGAGTGTAATTTGTTCCTCATGGATAATATGACCCTTAGCGGAGCCGGATCACGGGTTAGTTGAAGTGATATTTTCCGGTAATGGTAGTCGTACATCATGGCTGTCAGGCCGGGTTAGGAGGCAAGCACATTACAGCTCCATTTTAGCACTGCAGGCATCTGGGATTATTTTCCATAACCAAGTATGACATGACCGCTCTGCGGAGTGCATTAAATTTTTACTAGCTTTTTTCCCTCTCCTGGCAACTTCTGTGGCTTTTCTCCCGGTCTGGGTCTTGGGGCTGCCACAGTGATGGATACCCCCGGAGTCCCAGCAGCCCTGGCTAAGGTTAGCGGGTGTCGCAGACCTACACCGC